GGGAGGTCTTTGGCTCCTCCTGTCACACTCCACTGATCTCCCCAGCATTGCACTAAAACTGCAGGAGCAACCGTGCACGGCAGCGTCCCTGTGAATGTTCAGACTGAAACGTGTCACCTGTCCAGGCTTTATTAGGTGCAGTTTTTGCTGACATTTCATGGTGTTGTAGTAGTAGGTCGGGTAAAAGTCAGCACGGAAGAGTAATAACGTTTTGCTTTAATCATTAACTCAGACAAATCACTTCATTTAGTCTTTTTAAGGTTTAAATTGCCAAAGACAGGCACGGGTGTTAATCCATCCTAACAATATTTCTCCCCAGGTGTGAAATACGTGAACAGGAGTTCAGTCTTTTGCAGCTGCATTGAGCTGCGTTCAGCCCACCATGAGGATCATTACACTTCTTGCTGCAGTGGAATTTATAGTCTTCAGTGTTTAAACGGGTCAGGCTGTCCAAAGGTTAATAAGACGTGCACATAGCCTCACTGTACACCAGGCGATGTGGAGTAAACGACTGTAGCTCAGGACTTCTCCTGTTTGTTTATTAAGCTTTTATGACTTTTTTTGGCAACTCAGCAAAAGCAGTTCTGTCATAAACCAACAGCACCGTCATACTATCAAATTATAGAGCAGATACTGTAAGGCAAGCAGTTGCCTCAAGCTCCCTCACAGATGTTTGAGTCCTAGTTAGTTTGCTTGCTGCTCTGTGCTGAACATAAACCATACAGACGCTGACAAGTTTCTTTTTCTACTCTTGTATTGTGTCATTAAAGGCTTATATCCTTGAAATAGTCCACTCAGGCACACGGGAGCTTCACCGAGCTTCAGTATAAGATAATTAATGATTATTTAAAAAAAATTTGTGTAAAGCAACGAGTTTGACAACAATAAAAGGGGAGGTGAAAATAAGCATCATATTTAAAGGACCTTTCCAGCACCTCCCACCAGAGGTAATGTACAACGTGTTCATAATGCAACACTCTGCAAAAAACCTCCAAACATCCAAAGTAAAGAAAATCTTCAGTGCTTTTAAAAATAAAGCATCAAAGGCAGTTTTAAAATTCACTTAAAGTCTTTTCAGCAATAAGGGGCGTGTCCATCTCTAGAGGTTGAGTCACCTTGATTAGCTTTTCCATGCTGAACAACCCCAAAGCATTTTAAATTGGCCATTCATAAACAAATCACTCCATCATTTATCATTAAATCCTTCTCTCACCTCAACCAATCACAGCAGATGGCCCCGCCCCTCCCTGAGCCTGGTTCTG